TGAATCAAATTAGAGACTTAACGAGGGTGCGAAAGAGGATCTCGATCAGCGCATCGTCGTTGCCGACGATTACATTGGTTGATAATGGTGGTGGTGACGCCGTAGGGCTGTCGTGTTCCAAAGCTGATGAAGCGACGATGGCAATGGAGACCATTGTGGGATGGAGAGTGAAGAGACGGGTGGAGAAATGGCGGACTACGAAGATGGGAGTGGAGGAGGAGGCGGAAAAGTAGTTATAGAAGAGTAGGGCTAGGGTTTGGGACGGCATGAAAGGGTTTTCCCAGAGGATAAGAACGGTGGCGATTGTTGGGGAGGTGGTGTAGGCGGCGGCGATGGAGGCGAAGAAGGGGATCGCTAATGGTGGAGGTGGTGGAAGCAAAGGAAGGAGAGAGAGAGAGAGAGAGAGAGAGAGAGAGAGAGAGAGAGAATGAGATAATATGGTTCGTTAGGGCATCTCCAACGGTTCACCATTTTTTTCATCAAATCTGACTAGAAAAAAAAAATGATTTCCTCAATCTGATATTAGCCACTCCAATGGTGAACTGTAAATTTCATCAAAACACCATATGTCTGGTGGGACGATCGGTCGATCGACTGGCAAGAGCATTTCATGAAATTTTTTTCCCCCTCCATTTCAATTTCCCTAAATTCCTTTATCATTTCTTTTTCTCTTCATTAAATCTTTGCCATTTCTTGTTGTTCCATACTTGAAAATATATTGCATAATTAGTGTTACAAGTATGATAAATTTGATATACATATTTAATTGTGACAGGTACTTGTGATAATCACAAGATAATGAATTTACAAAGAACAATAAGAGCAAGAAGAACAAATATTTGTAATAGCTCCTTGGATACATACATACATATATATATATATATATATTAGAGAGAATGAAGAAAGATTTTCTCCATACCTTCTTTAGGGTTTGCCTTGCTCTTTGGTTAGCAGCTTTATTCCTCTCATTCTACCCAAAATCAGTTACCGAAATTACTTTTAGTAGGAAAAATTGAAAAAAATATCTAAAACCTGCACCCTAAAAAATAAAAAAGATAACCACTTAGAACTTATTTCCTTTTTGGTTGCCAAGAAACTGCAGGAAAAGAATATGTACCAGATCTTGAGGAGAGAATATTACCAGATCTTGAGAAGAGAAGATCTACTTTCACAGCACCATAATTTAAGGTTTTCTTCTGTTTTTTTCCTCCATTTTCACAGCAACCAAACAAAAAATCAAGGGCATTAATATGTACCAGATGTTGAGGAGGGAAGATCCACTTGGTTCGGTGGGTCGAAGTGCAAAAATCAGCCATTCGTTGAAAAATCGTAGGAGGAGTCACGCTGGAATGGAGGGTTTAGGGTTTCTCTTCAATTTTGTGCAGTTAACCGAAGGACTGGGGGGACAACTGGCTGGACGTCCGATCGGTCGTCCGGTGGGTCCCACTTCCAACGTTTACGCACAGTAGTTTGGTAAAATCTGCCATAGCTCCTCAGTTTGGTGAAAATTTTGAGGTGTTCTCAATTTGATATCGTTTTAGTCAAATCATTGGAGCCAAAAAATGTGTCATTTTTCATTTGGTGATGCTTCTGGTGAACTGTTGGAGATAGTGTTAGGGTTTGGGAAACAATATATATATATATATATATATATGGGTAGTTTGATCATTTTGTAAGAGTTTGTTCTTATGGAGAAAGTATTTTGGACTGTAAACCTTCGGACAAAAAAAAAAAAAAATCTAAAATTAGATTTATGAACCAAATGCCCCCCTTTTTTAATGTTTTAGAAAACAACATAACAAAAAATAAAAATTATATCAAACACCTTATAATTTTTCCCCTCTTTTTCCTTTCTTTTACTCTTTCATTCACAAATTCAAAATTCAAAATTCAAATATAATTTTTCATTGGAAATTTTTTAAAAATGCATAAATCGATTATAAAATTAGATACAATCCTCTCATACGAGATAAGTCTCACATTATGAGGTTTTGTTTGATTTTATAATTGATTTCTACACATTTAAAAACTATTTTGATTGTGGGATGATCATATCATGGCGATTGCTCTGGAGAAAGGAAAAAAAAAATGATGCAAATAAATTGGTAATGAGTTGTTGTCATGAAAAGGCCTTGAAGTGTAGTTGAGATTTCATCTTTTCACATCATCACAACTATAGTTGATTGCTTTCAAATTGATCAAAATATGTGATGATATGATATGAAGATAATGAGGAAATATGATTTAGTTATATGTGATGAGATAGAATATTGTTATGACAAAAAGCCATAAAGTCTTCATGATATGATGTAGCCTTCTCATCTCATGCATGTGGTATTGCTGTGTATGTCAACCATTCAAGTCTAGAAACATAATACAGAATAAAATAAAAAAAAATAAAATAAAAAATTGTTAATGATTGTCCTTAGACACTTAATAAGAAACTTAAAATATTTGAATATAATGCATGAAAATATGTGTAATATTCAATGTACAATCAATTTAAATATTATTAACCAATGTCTTAAGACACTCGTTAATCAAACCTATAAAAAATATAGATACGATTTATGTTAAATGTGTTAGATAAACAGTTTTATAAATTGTCTATTCATGATTTTATATTTAATTTTTGTACTTCTAACATTATTGTTAAGCAAAGAGATGTTGAAAGGGTAAATGGGAATTGATGAGGGGGGCCAAGTAATGAATGATAATGAAAAAGTGAATAAAAAAAAAAAATGTTGTAATAAGTCTCTGCACATAGACTTTTAATATTGGTGGGCCATTTAAAATATGGTGGCATTGAAATTTAATATGACCAATAACATCATGAGAAATTATGAAAGAAAGGATGATATGAAAGCAACCACTTCCACACCTCCCTTTTTTTTTTTTTTTTTTTTTCTTTCATAAATCTTTCTATAAATTTAAACATTACAATTTATTTTTGATTTATTTTGTCTTTAGAAAATTTTATTTTTTTTTCAATTTTGAGTTAACACTTTTTCTATTTCTTCTTTTACTTTTAAATTTGTCTAGATTAGATCTTAAAAATTCAGTAAAATCTTTAAAATTTATTCTCAATTCATAAATCAAAAAATCTTAATACATTAAAATGGTTTTGAAGGAAAAAAAAAAAAACAAATCTATATTTTAGAATTATTAATAACTAAGAATGTTCATACCAGGAGTAGCACCATCCATCTAGATTCCAATCTAAATCGAATATCTCATTATTATTGATACATTAAATAGGTTATTGATTGAATTAATAAATAAAATAAAATAGAAACACTTCTAAAAAAAATAGTAATTATTTGTTTCTATTGAAACAAGAAGCCAACAAAAATATAATGGACATTTGTTGCTATAATAAAAAGAAATAAATGAAAGTAGTGTTGTGCACATGTTCATATACAGTAAAAATTCAACAAATTCAACTACATCAACAAATTTTGTCTCTCTCTCTCTCTCATAAGGACAAAAAAAAAAAAAAAAAAAAAAAAAAAAAATCAACATCAAAGAATTTTTTTGTTTTTGTTTTTGTTTTTTAAACAAAAAAAAAAACACAGAGATAGTCATCATTAAAAAAATAGACAATGTGGTTCATGTGGAGACAAAGAAAATTATTTGGGATTATTTAGCTCCAAAGAAGAAGACAAAAACCATGGGATACCCCCTGGATCCAGATATTACTAGTGTCAAAACTGTTAAAACATAAAATTTAAAAATTTGAATAAAAAAAAAAAAAAAATCTCATACTGCAAACTTAAGAATGTGTTTTATGAGTTTTTTTTTTTTTTTACTGAACTCATGTTATTTTAAAATATATATTCTAAATGTGATCTTATGTTTTTAAAATATGATTTCAATTAATTTATTGCAAAAAAAAAAAAAAAGGACTTCTAAAACAAGATTTGATAAATAACTCTGTTCTTTATTACTTGACATAAACTTTTTACTCTGCAGTGTAACAAGGCATATAATACTGATCTCAAACCTGACCATGTTAATATAATAAAATCATCATTACATTAAAATAAAACAACTACTTGTTTGTTTGTGTTCCGAGTTTGGGAGGCTTATCAAATACTAATATAGTTAATAGTATGTCAGAGGTCACATTAGATAATGCACAAATATAATTAGCCTAACAGTGTTTTAAGTGGAAACCTCCTTTTATAAAAGAACAAAATAATTATGTGATATGCTCCTGAGACAATGGCTCCAAGATTATAGAAAACACGATTGCTTGACTCTTGCACTTAGGGTGAGTCCCAAACAATCGTGTAACTCTTTGGTCCTATTTGGTAGAGTTTATTTTCAACTTATTTTAATTTTCAGTTTAATTTAAGCTATTTTGATGTGTTTGGTTTAGCTTAATAATACAGCTTATAACTTTTTGTAAGTCAAAAATCAACTTATTCTTTGAGTGAGGGAGAAAAAACTTAATTTATAAGTCCAAATCAGCTTATGTTCACAATTATAAGCAATAAGCTGTTAAATTATAAATTATAATTACTTTTCCACAACTCTACCAAACGGGGCCTTTAAGTCGTTGAGACATTACTCAAGAAATTATTACTTGTTATGACAGAATAAATAAAAATGAAAAAGTAAAACAAAACAACGGCATGAACACAAAAATATAATTGATTTGACTATATAAACCTACATTCACGGGTGAAGAGTGACAAAAATTTCACTATCAAAGAAAGAGAAAATATAAAGTGCAGTCGTCTCTCTCTCCCTCTCAAAGCCATTTGTAATAAAAAGTCGCTTTAATCTCATAATTTCCAAAATAACACATAATATGTACTAAAATTCAAATACAAGAAGAATCTAGTCGAACATGTCATAAGCACAAACCGGGTAGAATACGAAAAGACAACCCTATCCAGTGGTGTGCCATACCATGAAAAAGGTGAATACATGACTGAAAAGAGATGAATACAGGTGACATAGAACAAGTATATAAGAGAAGAAAACAGTTTCACTTCACAAAAAGGACATTTATTCATTGCTGAAAAAGTGAAACCTCTCATTCTCATACAACAATGCCAAGCAATTTCCTGTACAGAAACATACATTCCCATTCCCTTCCTTTCCTTTCCCTTCCCCAACTAACAAAAAAGGATATGACAAAACCTCAAAAATTCCATATATCTACACATCAACAAACAAAAAGGGGGCAAAAATTAACAAAAAAAACAAAAGCCCACTGGTTCATAGTCCCAGTCCACTCACCATCTCCAACTTACCCAAAACACAAAAATAAAAAATAACATTACTATTAAGACTACTAGGTTCTGATCTATTTAATCGCGTAAGATCGCGCGCACACTGTCTCAAGTGCCTCCATAATTAAGGCCGAAAAACTGGTCATGGCTTGGAAAACTCCGGGCAAGCCGGTCTGAATGTTATTCAGCGTCATCGCTCTGGTCACCTCCACAGCCTTAGAGTGCCTCAACATTTCATCTTCCACTCGCCTTTGGCAAGCCACAAGCTCTAATTTTTTCTCAGCAAGTGGGTCTCTAGCATCTAACGCATGGCCATTATCAGGTCCAGTATCAGGAAGCCCGATGCCAACCATGGAGTACGAATGGTAGTACTTCTTTTCTATACTCCTCAGAGCTGAAGCTTTCTTCTCAAGCTCTTTTGCTGCAGACTCCGTTCTTTTCTTGATCTTGACTTCCTCTGTCTGTTTCAGAGATATTGAATGAACGACGTTGATGAAGCTTTTGATGGCTTCGGATGCGACCGTGTCTGGGAGACGATCGAGAGCAAGTTTCCACTCATCACAGAAGGCAAACACCTCGGACAGTTCTCTGTTGTTGTCGTTGGTTTCTTCTCTGTTGACGGAAAGGATGGTCAGCAAAAAAATAGACAATGTGGTTCATGTGGAGACAAAGAAAATTATTTGGGATTATTTAGCTCCAAAGAAGAAGACAAAAACCATGGGATACCCCCTGGATCCAGATATTACTAGTGTCAAAACTGTTAAAACATAAAATTTAAAAATTTGAATAAAAAAAAAAAAAAAATCTCATACTGCAAACTTAAGAATGTGTTTTATGAGTTTTTTTTTTTTTTTACTGAACTCATGTTATTTTAAAATATATATTCTAAATGTGATCTTATGTTTTTAAAATATGATTTCAATTAATTTATTGCAAAAAAAAAAAGGACTTGTAAAACAAGATTTCAAAATTAACCTGAGTTTGAAAAAAAAAAAAAATTGTATTTAGAAAATTTATTTAAAAGTGGCATAAATTTGATAAATAACTCTGTTCTTTATTGCTTGACATAAACTTTTTACTCTGCCGTGTAACAAGGCATATAATACTGATCTCAAACCTGACCATGTTAATAATAAAATCATCATTACATTAAAATAAAACAACTACTTGTTTGTTTGTGTTCCGAGTTTGGGCCGTATAGTTGTCCTTGAAGAAAAACAAATGAGGCTTAACCAATACTAATATAGTTAAGAGAAATGGCCCGTAGCTCGAATTTGTTGGTTCGAAATTGGCCTAAATAGCCAAAACGACGTCGTTTTGGCTATTTTTTTTTCTTTTTCTTTTCTTTCTTTGTCTGTGTTAGTCTGTGTTAAAATACAGAGGGAGAGAAGACACGAAGGGAGAGCGAGAGAAGAGGAAGAGGAGAAGAGGAGAAGGAAGACCGAACCCCAAGTTCCTTCTTCTTCCTCTTAATTCTTCACCAGACCCAGCTCCTTGGTTCGGTTCCGGATCATCAGACCTATCATCATCATCAGACCCAGCTCTGGATTTGAGGATTAAAGGTAATTTTTTTTTTTTGTTGATGAAGATGATGGTGATGTTGAAGATGATGTTGATGTTGTTGCTGATTTGAATCTGAGGATGAAGGGAACAAAAAAAAAATTCGAGCCAGATTTGATGATGTTGATGAACAAAAAAAAATCTAAGGATGAAGGAAAAAAAATTTGGACAGATTTAACCTGTTTCATATAACCTGTTTCTTAACACCAAAAATGCATAAAAGAGGAACTTGCGCATCCAATGAACACATGAGCCAAGAAAAAATTTGTAATCTGAACAAATTTTTTTTTTTTGTTGTTGATGATGAAACCCAGCAGCGCCAGCTCCTTCCTCTTCTTCTCTTCTTCTTCCTTCTTTATCTTCAGAAAAACGCGAAAAAGAAGAAGAGAGAAAAAAAAACAACACACACCAAATGACGTCGTTTTACTGTCGAGCCAAACTTGGGCCACACTCTCTCGAGCTACCAATCGGGATTGTATAGTTAATAGTATGTCAGAGGTCACATTAGATAATACACAAATATAATTTGCCTAACAGTTTTAAGTGGAAACCTTCTTTTATAAAAAAAACAAATAATTATGTGATGCTCTTGAGACAAATGGCTCCAAGAATCATAGAAAACACGGTTGCTTGACTCCTACACTTAGGGTGAGTCCCAAACAATCGTGTAGCTCTTTGGTCCTATTTGGTAGGACTTATTTCCAGCTTATTTCAACTTTTAGCTTAATTTAAGCTATTTTGATATGTTTGATTCAGCTTAACAATACAGCTTATAACTTTTTGTAAGTCAAAAAACAATTTATTCTTTAAGTGGGGGGAGGAGAACCTTAATTTATAAGTCAAAAATCAGTTTATGTTCACAATTATAAGTTATAAATTGTTAAACTATAAGTTATAATCACTTTCTCACAGCTCTACCAAACGGAACCTTTAAGTCGTTGGGACATTACTCAAGAAATTATTACTTGTGATGACAGAATAAATAAAAATGAAAAAGTAAAACAAAACAATGGCGTGAACACAAAAATATAATTGATTTGACTATATAAACCTACATTCACGGGTGAAGAGTGACAAAAATTTCACTATCAAAGAAAGAGAAAATATAAAGTGCAGTCGTCTCTCTCTCTCCCTCTCAAAGCCATTTGTAATAAGAAGTCGCTTTAATCTCATAACTTCCAAAATAACCCATAATACGTACTAAAATTCAAATACAAGAAGAATCTAGTCGAACATGTCATAAGCACAAACCGGGTAGAATACGAAAAGACAACCCTATCCGGTGGTGTGCCATACCATGAAAGAGGTGAATACATGACTGAAAAGAGATGAATACAAGTGACATAGAACAAGTATATAAGAGAAGAAAACAGTTTCACTTCACAAAAAAGGACATTTATTCATTGCTGAAAAAGTGAAACCTCTCATTCTCATACAACAATGCCAAGCAATTTCCTGTACAGAAACATACATTCCCATTCCCTTCCTTTCCTTTCCCTTCCCCAACTAACAAAAAAGGATATGACAAAACCTCAAAAATTCCATATATCTACACATCAACAAACAAAAAGGGGGCAAAAATTAACAAAAAAAACAAAAGCCCACTGGTTCATAGTCCCAGTCCACTCACCATCTCCAACTTACCCAAAACACAAAAATAAAAAATAACATTACTATTAAGACTACTAGGTTCTGATCTATTTAATCGCGTAAGATCGCGCGCACACTGTCTCAAGTGCCTCCATAATTAAGGCCGAAAAACTGGTCATGGCTTGGAAAACTCCTGGCAAGCCGGTCTGAATGTTATTCAGCGTCATTGCTCTGGTCACCTCCACAGCCTTAGAGTGCCTCAACATTTCATCTTCCACTCGCCTTTGGCAAGCCACAAGCTCTAATTTTTTCTCAGCAAGTGGGTCTCGAGCATCTAAGGCATGGCCATTATCAGGTCCAGTATCAGGAAGCCCGATGCCAACCATGGAGTACGAATGGTAGTACTTCTTTTCTATACTCCTCAGAGCTGAAGCTTTCTTCTCAAGCTCTTTTGCTGCAGACTCCGTTCTTTTCTTGATCTTGACTTCCTCTGTCTGTTTCAGAGATATTGAATGAACGACGTTGATGAAGCTTTTGATGGCTTCGGATGCGACTGTGTCTGGGAGACGATCAAGGGCAAGTTTCCACTCATCACAGAAGGCAAACACCTCGGACAGTTCTCTGTTGTTGTCGTTGGTTTCTTCTCTGTTGACGGAAAGGATGGTCAGCTTGAACCAGCCATGGAGGGAGCGAATGAAATCCCTTTGGAATTTGATTAGGCGGCAGAAACTGGAGTGCCAGGCTGAGACAGCAGACTCAAGGTCACGAGTTGCTTGTCGATGCAGATCAGAGGTAGACTCGCCCTTTGTTGATCTGTTCACAAGGCCTCGCACTTGCTGCACAATGTGATTCTGAACTTCATGGAATTGGTTCATTGATTTCCACATGTACATGAACCTGCATCATCCATTATTTCAACTACGTGAATTTGTGTTGTTTCATGCAGCATTGCTAGTCTAATTTGTCAGCCCAACAATAAGATCACACCACATGAAGCATGAACTAAAGAAGTTTGCATCATCTGACTGATAATATAAGGACAATTAGCTTCCATTCCAATCAAAAGAGGGCAGTTTCAAAAAGAAAAATTCATTCAAAAAAAAAAAAAAAAAACACACAAATAAAGTTGGTTGATAATTAGGATTTTCTTGAGCAGTTCACCTGACCTATACCATTAGCACCATCAACAAAATTACCATAACCATGTTTGTTTGAATCTTTCAATTCATGATTCCATTCATACGATTTGATACGAGTTTCAAGCAAAACAATTCAATTTGTGCAATTAAATCTTAAATTCAGTGAATCTTATGGTTCAATTTTGATTGCATTATGCATGAAATGGTATCATTTTTGTAAAGTAAAAAAAGAAATCAACTAAATATATTGATATACATAACCAACTAAGCCTAACCTAGTTAGCCACCATGCCTTAGGGCTTGTCTCTAAGGAGGTCACGAGTTCAATTGCCCTCAAGGGAGTTGAATTAAAGGAGTGCAAGCATTTAGGTGCTTTGCCAAAGGTGAGGAGATTTTCTCCCATAAGTGCTAATCTAACAACTAACAACTAACATCTGCCGATCAAAAAAAATATAAATATGTTGATATACATGGGTTTATATGTATATATATGTGCAATTTAGTTATACTAATATTTATTTCATTTTAAACTATGTATATCTGAACTGCTTTTGGTTGGTTGCACAGTTCATGGTTCTGACATTATTTTTAGTCTTACGATCCGCTTGTAAGCTTTAAAAATTAAATTATAAAATTTTGGTTTGGGAATAGGCTATTTTAGATGAAAAAAACTAATATGTTTGGAATGATTTTTTTGACTTTTTTAAAAGTACAAAAATAGAAAGAAAATGGAATCTTTAACTTTATTGTATAGTTCTTTGGCTTTTTAGTTTTTTAGTGACTTTTTGGATATTATAGGGAGTTTCTAAACCAAGCCTCATAAATCTAAAAATAAAAGCCCAACACTAATAGGGTATGCACCACCCTTGGTTGCAGGCTGTGGAGTTTCTGGACTAAGTAGCTATCACCATGCGACAATGGAATACAGTGGTTTTTTCATAGGTCAATCTATTCCACAAAGAGTGACTCTCCAACTCTGGCATTAACTAGGAATTTACGGTCGCTTGTCTAAACAGCTACATTTCTTGGTCATCCTACAATCATGTTGTGTCCCTGTGCGTTTAGTCTGCAATTTGCTAAACAGGCCTAAACTAAACAAACAATAAAATCATTCTTGACTTCAATTATATCCCACCTAGCAGAATATCAATTAATCTAGAGACAGGACAATGGTGGGTCATATCACAGTTAAAGCCAGCGCCATTAACTCTCCAACCATCAATTACTTTTTTGGGCCAGTTATGGTCAGTAATCGCCCAAAGTTTGTAGATCAAAATACAAAAGAACTGTCAGGTTGGGGCCACGGCTTGTACTGTAGAGATGCAGCCAGTCAGGTGGACAGATCTTAGGAGGACCACCGCAATAGGTAATTGCTACTTACAAAGGGATGGAACAAGTTGCAAGCCACATACAGAACAGAGGTTCATAATTTTTCAACCAACACTGGAACGAGACATCAACCTAAAATAGCATTTTTTATTTTACATGAGAAATCAGGTAGCATCCCAGCAAAAATGTTCACCAGTCATGATTCATTACCCAGCGATGAAATTTTAGTCACTTGTTGACCACTAATCATGTATAAGAAAAAAAACATAGACATCACAGATTCACAGTGCAGAGAAAGAATTTGCCAAAGCTCAAATATATATACACTATACCCATCCTGTGGAACTGCACTAACTTGCAAAAAGAATGGGATTATTTTAAAACTCAAGATGTGAGACTTGAATAATGTTTTGAACTTAATAAATTTGAATTTGGCCAGGAGAAATTTTCTCTAAACTTAGGATTTTATTATATTTTACTATAATTTGAAAAAAAAAAAAAAAAAGGCATCCAGGAAAGTCATAGTATAGAAAACCATTTTCATTTCTTAGGAAAAAAATTCAGACAACTATATGAAATTTAGGGGAAAATGATTAAAAAAAAACGTAGTTTTAATTTTTTTGAACTGCTTGCATTTGTCCAGAGATTTATTCATCAAGCGCCCTATTTCATATTTGAGACAAGAAATCACGACCACTCAAAATATTGTCACTAGTTTTGTGAATCAGGACATAATGTGGTGTTGAGTGTGGTTGATATTTGTCCACTCTGACAATTTTATAGTACAGAGTTGATTTGTACAGTGAGTCATCATCCACTGTGTGCATACAATTGATTCTAAAATATCAGCAAATAAAAATAAAATAGAAATCACTTACCCATGACAAAGATCAACAAGCTGCGGGACAAGTTCAGTGTCTCTCAGACCAATGATGGCAGAGGAGGTGGTGGCAACGGCCTGAGACGTGACCGCAATTAACGATTGTAGCCTCTTAATAGAGGCCTTTGTCTTGTCCAACTTCACTTCATCATCCCCTCTGTACTCCTGACTTTGTAGGGCAGCTAACTTCTTTTCATGCTCAATATTCACACCTTCTCTAGCCTACATTCATTATCAATTCAATGCCACATTAACAAAAAATATTTATTCCCACATTTCATCAACCACAAATTAAAAAACATGACACAATCAAAATGCAACAACACAAACTCATCTGCAATTGTACAGTATAATAATGAAAAATGACTTACATAGTTGCCAGTATAAATTGCAGGATACAAGAATTCTTATCTTCCATTTTTATTTTCATTAAATGGGTGTTTTTGCATTTGGTACTGAGCATTAAGAACACTAAAACAAGAAAGATTTATCCTATTTCCAAATAAGTACAAACACCATAAACTTTTGTTCCTAAAAGAGTACACCTTTAAATATGTTTTGCAGCATGTTCCAATCTAAGAGATCAGCACAGGTGGTCCTTGTCAGCCCAGTACTCAAAGGCATTGTAGTCATTTCACAATTGTAAGGAATCCCTGTTTGGGTAAAGCTAAAAAAGCTGTTTTTATCACTACAAATAATTCCAAAAGCAAAAATTTATTCGGGTAAAGCTAAAAAAGCAACAACAAAAAAAAAAGGCAATTTTCCCACTAACAAAAAAAACAAAAAAAATTAGCAATTACCAATCACATTAACTTTTTAAGATTCTAAAAAGAAAAAAAAATACTAAAAAAAACAATTGTCAAACCAAACCTTAATACTGAAAAATATTCTTGCTAGTTCAATGAGTAACTATCCAAAATCACTAACATTACTCACAATAGCATGAGACTTTTTGTCCCTAAATCTCTTTTCTTTATTTGTTTCAACACATTTTCAATTATTATATTATTTCTCAAAATCAACATTTTCAATAATGGAAAGTATATTAAGACAAGAAGACAGAAAAAAAATTGAAAGCAAAGGATCCTCACCAAGAATGACAAAAATGTCGATATAGGATTCCCCAATTCCCACTATCTTTAAGGGACATTTTTGTCATTTCCTAATTTCCACCATCCAATGTGGTGTACTATGAGTGGAGTGGTGTCAAACTGTCAGCCCCACAAAAGAAATTGTTGGTTCCACACTGTATCCCTTTTACTTCAACCAAAATATCAAAAAAATTATTAAATACTTTGGCAATATCATATATTACTTAGCAAAAACTACAATACACACTTAATGGATCATTATTTATCTCTGAACCTTTCAAAATATTTTGCTACATATGATTAAATTTATAATGCAAGTAATGTCAACCCAAATTATCACCCAAACTTACATTTTGGCAAATCTTTTGTACCCACAAAATAAAATCAAACTTAATTCAAAATAATGAAGACAATAACTACAATTAACTAATAGAGAGATTATGAGATTTGATACCTTCACTTCTTGATAGAGTTTCTTCTCCCAAGCCAATAGCCTTTCCAATGTAGAACAGAGACTCTTAGAACCGCCCGGCTCATCAATTGAACCCGGTTCAAACCGGTACTTAACTGCCAATGGAGGCTTCGAAGTCCAGCTCGAACTCAAGTTACTGAAAACCCCACTCGAATGATACACAGTCTCTGGAAAATCAAAATTCAAAATTCAAAACCCTAAAAATCAAATTCAACTTTTTTCAAAAAAATAGATGATCGATTTTGTTTTCCGTACTCTTCAATTGTCTGAAACTTCGATCCAATTGATCGCGACCCGTCTCGAGCATTTCGGAAACTTGCTCTCCGGCCGAAGCGGCCTTGTCGAAGTACTCTTTAATCGCCGCCACGATTTCCGCTAGATCTCGGTGCCGGACCACCATTTTCATGTCGGCGCCGCCGTTGCCGGCGGCGTTCCAGCTGGCGGAAGAACCCGCATCGTCGGACTTTTCAGACTTAGAGTACTTCGGCGCCGCAGCAGCAGGCGGCTGAGCTCTGGGTTCGTTGTGTACCGATGATCCGAAATTCGACTGTGTACCCATTTCAGATCTGGAATCTCTGTCCTCATCTCCATCGTCTTCTTCGGACGAGGTGGTGGTGTTGTAATGGTCGTCCCATTCGCTGTACTGAACCTCCTCTCTGACCACCGTCTCTTCTCCATCATCGACATCGATGTGGTTGTGATTTTGGTGCTTATGGTGGTGATTTTGGTAATTAGAGTAGGTTGAGGCTTTGTCGAATTCAGAGAAGGTTGAGGCTTTGTCATCATCGTTGTTGTTGTTGTTGTTGGGGCGGCGTTGGAAGAATTCAGAATCGGGAGGAGAAGGAGGGTAGAAATTTTCCCAGTTCCAAGCGGAAGAAGCTTGAGAGGGAGTGGTTGAATAGGTGGGATTTGCGTTGTATGTGTAGTTTGGGGGTGATCGAGCTGGGTTGTGGCTTCGTGGGGACGAAGAGAGGCTCGATTCGGAGAGAATGTGAGGGAGTTTGATGGGTTTTCTTTGCTGGTGGTGGCGGCGAGAGGAGGATTTGCTGGAGGCGGAGAGGATGTGGGGGAGTTTGGAGCTGGCAATGGTGGGGGAAGGAGCGGTGGAGAAGTGAGGAGGCGGTGGTGGAGGAGGAGGGGAGGGAGAGGGGGGGATGTTGATGTTGCTGTTGTTGTTGTGGTGGTGTTGGGGCATGGAGGTGGAGTGGGAGAGGGAGGAGGGGGTGCGGAGGAGGACGGAGGGGGTTTGGTCGGAGACGGCGAGGGGTTCACCGGAGGAGAAGACTGAGAGGGCGGAGCCGGTGATGCGGAGGGAGCGGCAGTAGTCGGCGTGGGCGGCGGCCAGGTGGTGGCGGGCGCAGACGGCGTCTTTCATGAGGCGGCGCCGCTCCTTGCACCGCCTCACGGTGTCCTCGTTGTCCAGCTTCGAGGCCGTGCAACCCATCCCTACTATCCCTCTGGAGGAGTCTCTATTTTTAGAGAGAGACTACGTAAGGAGTCGCTTTAGAGAAGAGTGAGAGAGAGAGCGAGAGAGCGAGCGAGAGATGGCATATAAATACAGAGAGAGAGAAAGAGAGAGACACAGCGCTCTGTGAGCTTCAACTCAGCTGTGTGTGTGGACTGTAGATCATGTCCTATGTTTTACACTTTTCTGACTCACTGACTCGCTCAACTCGGTCAACATTGGGAACCCGTGGGGATGGTGTAATAAGTTTTTTCGTTTGAAAAGTTGATTAAAAACATTAAAATACGGAAATTAAAAAATTAAATTTTTTTTAAAAAAATCATTCATAAATCTTTGGGAAAAAGTTATTTCATTTTGGTTACGCTTAACAATTTAAAAATAATCTATCTTTTTATTTTTTTTTTCGTCATATCACCTCTCTATTTTTTTACATATCTTTTCATAAAAAGACAAAAAGTACGCTTATTTAGTTCATTCCAAATAACCCCTTAGGCTTTGTTTAACATGATCTAAAAAAGTCAAAAAGTCACTATCATATTTAAGTCACATCATCTTATTTAAGTCACATTACCTCTCTAACACATCACTTCAAACCCAATCCATATCCAACTCATATTTCATAAAAAGTCAAAAAGTACACTTATTTAGATCATTCCAAACAACCCATTCTAGAATTTTTTTTTTCAAATTAATTTGTCATTTTTATTTTGGATATGTTATATTTCCTTGATTTGAGAGTTTGAAAATTTATTTGTTTGCTCTTGTGTGTGATTTCACGACCGGACTAACTCTGAAACCGGTCCTCCCAGAACATACTGCGACCGGACTAACTCTAAGACCGGACCTACTCCGAGTTGTCTCTGGGTCGGAGTAGCCTTACTCTTTCTTGGGCCGAAGCAACTATCTCTTCTTGAGCCGGAATAAACTCACCTCCTTGGGCCGAAGTAACTTTGTCTCCCCAAGGCCGGAATAACCTTGCCCTCTAGGCCGGAGTATTCAGTACGGCCTTTTTACGTAGTCCTACGCGTTTTGGGCCTCAATGCCCAACTCTCAGCTCGGCCCAATTTTTCCCAAAAATTACCCTCTCAATATTTAAGTCACATCATCTTATTTAAGTCACATTACCTCTCTAACACATCACTTCAAACCCAATCCATATCCAACTCATATTTCATAAAAAGTCAAAAAGTACACTTATTTAGATCATCCCAAACAACCCATTCTAGAATTTTTTTTTTCAAATTAATTTGTCATTTTTATTTTGGATATGTTATATTTCCTTGATTTGAGAGTTTGAAAATTTATTTGTTTGCTCTTGTGTGTGATTTTGTTTAGATTTTTTTTTCCTAATGTTGGATGTGTGTGAGTAATGTAAGTTTTTACGTTTCTATTTTTTTATAGGGATTTAGTGGAATAATTTGTAGGTGGATGATGTTACATCCATTTGTGGTGTTATTAGTGTGGTGTTTGTTCCTTTTTGTGATGTTCGTCCCTATTGTAACATTAACATTAATTAACATCCAAACGTAGCACTAATGTAAACAATAAAAAAAACTTCTTACTGTATTTTTTCTTAACGTAACACTCCAAAAAAACTCCTTAATGTAACACTCTAAAGTAACACACACAAAAATTTCTTATTATAACGCTCTAATGTAACATACAAAATAACTCCTTAATATATTTTTTTCCAAACGTAACACTCTAATATAAAACACAAAAAAACTCCTTAATGTAATGCTCTAATGTAACACACACAAAAACTCTTTAGTGTAACAATTTAATGTAACATATAAAAAAATTTCTTGATGTACCTTTTCTAAATGTAACACTCTAATCTAATACTTTAAAAAACTCCTTAGTATAACACTTTAATGTAATACACAAAAACTCCTTAATATAACATTCTAATGTAACATACGAAAAAACTCTTTAGTGTACATTTTCTAAACGTAACACTTCAATATAACACTCCAAAAAAATTTCTTAGTGTAACACACAAAAAACTTTTTGGTATATTTTTTCCAACAATGATTCATCCCACTAAAAATATCACCACTAATAGCACTAATGCATTAAAAAAGTAAAAAAAAAAAAAAAAACCACAACTCCAAGACCAAAACATCACATCATTAATGGTGGGACCTACTGCCACTTAATTAGTGGGAGCACTAATTAGTGCTCCCAAGCATTTTTCTTTTTCCAAACGTAACGCTCCAATGTAACCAAAAAAAAAAACTTTACAGTGTACTTTTCCTAAACATAACACTCCAATGTAATATATAAAAAATAAAAAATAAAAGAATGTGAGATTTTTCAAACCATTTCAAAAGAAGTACAAATATTCCTTAGTAAGTTTTGAACAAATGTATAATTTCAAACTATGAGTGTTACGTTTGAAAAAAATTTCTTAGTGTAACATTTTAATGTAACACACAAAAAAACACTTTAGTATATTTTTTCCAAACGTAACGCTCCAATGTAACAAAAAAAAAAAAAAAAAATTCTCAGTGTATTTTTCCTAAACATAATACTCCAATGTAACCAAAAAAAATAAATAAAAAAAATGTGAGATTTTTCAAACCATTCCAAAAGGAGTACAAATATTCCTTAGTAAGTTTTGAACAAATATATGTTTGGTTTGTGTTTGAGAGATGTGTTTTAGAGATAAAAAGTACGAAAAGTTGTTTGGTTTGATTTTTTTCAAAAGATGTTTTGAAAAATTATTTTGAGAGAGAGTTTTGGAAAAAGTGATTGATTTGATGTGTGCAAGAAAGAGATTTGTTTGGAAAACTTGTTTGGTTTACAAGTTTTGAGAAATTTTTTTGGAAAAATTTGCTTGGTTTAATTACTTTTAAAAACTTATTTGTAGAGAAAATTTCCCAAATTTTTTTCAAAAATACAAACCAAACGAACCCATAATTTCAAATTGTGAGTGTTACGTTTGAAAAAAGTATACTGAGAAATTGTTTAAGTATTTTTGTGTGTTACATTGGAGTATGTTACATTAGAGTGTTACATTTAGGAAAAATACACTGAGATTTTTTTATTTTTTATTTTTACATTGAAGCGTTATGTTTGGGAAAAGTATAGCAAAGAATTTTTTTTAGAATGTTACGTTGTTACATTTGGAAAAAATATACTAAGGAGTTTTTTAGTTTGTTACATTAAAGTGTTACGTTATTAGAGTGTTAGGTTTTTGTTCGTAATGTGGGATTTGTTCTACAATGAGGGAAAATCCAAAACTTCTATAGTTTAAATTGCCCAAATGTATAATTTTACATTTAGAGAAAATCACTTTTATCCCTAAAAAATTAAACCCAAACATATAAGTGACTACTCTTTTATGTAATTTTCACTTTAATGGGATCTTTGGATTTATAAGAAAAAATGGATGACTAAACCGTTTCCAAGATCACATTTTGGGATTTATTGGTGCTTCACCCAAAATTTTTTGAAAATTATTTTTTAAAAATTAAAACTAAATATGATTTGAATATGATATTTTGTCTTATTAATTTTTTAATTTATTTTGTCATTTTATAATTATTTTAGCCAAAACCATTTATGCCAAATGAAGGCTGAGTTGGTTTGAAAGGTTGACTATTTTAGTTAAGACTTCGATTTTGTTTGACATGTATTAAAATAACACATGCTATTTTAAGCATATTATTTTGAGAAAATTAGTCTAAGGTCCCTCTCTCATATTTAGTAATGGAATAGATCAATAATATTATTTTATGATGTCTAAGGTCTCTCAACCCCCACACTCATATATTACAGAAAAATTTCTCAAATCAAACCTCATTCTCTCTCTCTAAACTCTCTTCCTCTGTTCAATCAAAAAGAAATGAATTGCTATTGCATTTATACCTGAGAGAGCGAGCGACTAGGTTTATGAATCCAGATTTCTCATTATCACTGCAAATCAAAACAATGCAAACTCAGATCTGTTGTGTTCCAGTGCGATATCGAACACTGAAAGCCTTGGAATGAAACAGAAAAAAAAATGAAGAAGATTGCGAAGAAGTAAGTAGAATAACCTGATTTGAGAGAGGCAAGCTACAGCAGATTAGAGCTTAGAGAGCTTCTCGGAATCTGCGGCGCTCAAAGTGACAGCAGCCATTTCAGATTAAAATAGAGCTTTGATATATAAAGAGAATTACTATGTCCAGGGGTGAAGATGGGGTGATCAAATTGAAGGATCAGTCAGGTTCAGAGGTTGAAATGGGTATGCTTTGTTTATTTGATTTGGGCTGTCAAAAGTTTCAAAACTATTTTTGCATTGTTGTCTAAAAATTGGGGTTACAGTACTTTAGATGAAATCTGGGTGTAGTTTTCAAGTTGGGTTTTTGTGTTCTGGAAAATGCTGGGTTTCTGTGAATGATCATTTTGACTAAGGGTTTTGTTGGCTTTGTTTGGCAAATTGTTGTCTTACATGTTTTATCTATTACTTAAATTTCTGATCTGTACTGATTTGTACATATATACTTAGATGTATGTTCTCTCTGTGTGTCTTTTCTGTATTTTTTGGGAATTTCGCTGGGTTGTGTAGTCCAGAATTTCTCTAGGTTGAGAGAATTTCTGTAGAAAGGTTTGTTTGGAAATTTCTCTGGGTTGGGGAATTTCTCTAGCTATCTGTCTATGAGCATGTTCTGGTTAGCTTCTCAGTTCATCATTCTTGGGATTGGAGATGGGCTTACACTTGTTGGCCTACAAGAGTACTTCTATGATCAAGTTCCAGATTCAATGAATTTGTGTGTGTACGTGTGGTATATATATGGTGTGTGTTTGGACTAGTGAACTGAATTTTTTTTTTTTCATTTGAACTGAATTCTCTCTAGATTGAAACCAGAGAAATTCTCTGGTTTTTGAACTGAATTTTCTCTGAGTTGAAACTAGAGAAATTCTTTGATTTTTGAACTGAATTTTCTCTGGGTTTGTCCAGAGAAATTCTTTGGTCTCGAGCTAGAACCTGGAATGCTTAATTTGTATAAAATCCAATGTTTGTGAAATCAAATTTTGAAACCCTCTTGTTGAGAAGGAGAGCAATATTGATGTTGTTCGATTTCATCTCTCATTCTCTCCAGAGAATTCTCATCTAGAGAA